TTATGTTTAATTTCATGTATATATACATTGATTTTTTTGACATATTTGGTTATCTATAGATATGCGATTTTTCTTTCATTCATTACACTTTGTATATTAAGGTTATTATATCGATATCTATAAGTTAAAGTTTGGACCAGTTGAAAATAGACGTGTACAGATCACCTTCACGTAATTTTTCATGCTACACATTTCATGATGAATCCATTCATTTGGTTATGTCAGGATTAGTAATCATTGTTGATTTTAGTTGCGATGATACAATAAAAAGCTGATTTGGTTCCATATGCTAATATGATCAATGGATGAGACTTTTGGAGTATGATAAAGGAATATAATGACAATTTTGAGCTCATAAAGTCTAACACATTTGTAAGGTTGTAAGGACATATATATTTGTGACCAGTGGGAGATTGTTGGCAAATTTTGGGTCATGTATATATATGATACATAATTTAAATGTGTTAGGGCCACTATTTATTAAGCTAAATAATAAAGTCATCTGACTAAATTAAAATTTTGGCTTAAGACATATGTCATGAAAATAAAATTGTGTAGAGACCATAGAGTAATTTCTAATTTGATGAGAGGCTAAATTAGAAATACTAAAAATTAAATAATTAACCTAATTTTGGTTATTTAAAGGGTCATGGTCCCCTTCTGAGAGTACACACACAGAACGTAAGTCTCAATACCCGTTCCTTTCTTTCTATCCCCATCAAGAGAGAAAATTCATAGGAAAAATAAAGGTGCTCTTCAGGTGGAAGACCATAAGATCAATAATGCTCTAAAATGGGCATAATCATTATGGCTAATTTAGGTACGTTTTCGCATTCAATCTACAACATGTTTATGAGTATGGAATAATGTTTATGTTTGATCGTTAGAATCAAAATCAATATCATAATTATTAGTTTTCTATCACCTTGTTCATCTATAAAAGGGTGACATAATTAGTTGAAGGATAACAATTGTAAATAAAACTAAAATATACCTGGTCTAAAATAAATTAAAATTATTGAAAGCAATGAGAGGGAGATTGATGACAATGTGAAACATGTCCCTACATTCTCAATAGATGATTTTGATGATGATTCAAGTCAACAACATTCAAGACTCAAGCAAGCCCAAGATGATTCCTGAAGACTAGATAGAGTCTTAGAATACTAGATACGAAGGTACAAGTTGATAAAGTAATATTATGCATAAGCTTTCAAAGCACAAGTGTGATAAAATTTTGTAACATGATATTTTTCACTGCCATAATCAATTATGATGCATCAGAAATGGAAAAATGATTTTCTCTATCATAATTGATTATACTGGTAACATAATCAATTATGACAGTTCAAATTTGAAATATATATGCTTTGAAGAATAAATGTTTTTGAATATATCTTGATTTTTATCCACGAAAATATTAATGTCCAACGACCATTTTTTTATGTTATTTTTCTATTTAATTAAGTTTTGATGGAAAATAAAAAACACACAATTACATAATTCGAAAATACAATTTACATTCAATCAGTTTTGAGAAAAGAATTCTAAGCAAAGCAATTGAAATATTTTACATGTTTTGAGAAAACCCTCTTCTTCATTGCCACAGAGATATTTTACCAAAACCCTCTTCTCCATTGTCTACTGTGTTTTTATTGTTAATCACACTTGTTTTTGGAGGTTGATATTCTACAGGCTTCTACAATTTGTTGTCTCCATTACCCAGGTGTGATTGTTCTTATTGTTCTTATTTTATTACCTTCATCCTTTGTTGGCTTAAATGGTTGATTGTTAAATTCCCTATTTAGGGTTTAAGTAGTCACTGTCATTGTGTTGTGTTTTTTTGGGTTTCCTGTGTGAAAACTGTTTATCCCTTTGATTTGTTCAGGGAAGTGTTTTCATCCTTTGATTTGTTCAGAGGAGGTGTTCATCCCTAGTGGGATTCTAGGGAGGTGTTCATTCTTAGTGGGATTCTAAGGAGGTGTGTTCATCCTTTGATTTGTTTAGAGGAGGTGTCCATCCCTAGTGAGATTCTAAGGAGGTGTTCATCCTTAGTGGGTTTCTAAGGAGGTGATTGTCTTTTGAATTAGTTTACTTTTTGCTGAGTTGATTATAATTTGTGAACTGAATTTAAAAGATAATGAATTGGGGTCACTCTTGTGTTAAGAGTTGACTAGGAACTGGATGTAGGGTTGGCTATACCCGAATCAGTATAAATCACTGTGTGCTCTTCTCTTTTCCTTATCCCTTTTTCACTGCATTACTCTCCATACACCCCTTATTTTTATCTCTATCTTTTTCTTTTATCTATCTGATTATATCGCTTCCGCTTTATCTTTGTTCAATTTGATAATTAAAATTGAATTAATAAATATTGGACATCTTAAAATAAATTTTTAATTTGACATCTATTTTAATTTATGCATCTATTCACCCCCTCTAAATGTCATTTGTCTAACAATCATTACCTATAACATTGACAATTCTACACGTGATTGTTGAGTAGTATCCACAAAAGGATCAATATGTGGTTGTGCAATAAAGGTTGTATGAGGAGGAATGTGTAGTTGTGAAGTATGAGCTATAGAAGGGGGAATATGTGACAATGTAAACATAGGTGGCTAAATGCGTGGTTGTGAAATATGAGCCATAGGAGGGGTGATATGTGGAAATGTAGACATAAGTGGTTGAATGTGCGGTTGTGGAGTAAAAGCCATAGGAGGAGGAATATGTGAAAATGTAGACATAAGTGGTTGAATATGTGGTTGTGGAGTAAGAGTCATAGGGGGAGGAATATGTGATTGTTGAGTAGGAGGAATAAGTGGAGGAATATGTGTTTTTCTTTTTTTTAGATATTTGGCTTTAGAAGTCATGATTATTTAAACTAAGACACAATCTAAATAGCTACAATATAAAATAAAAAGAGAAGTTATAATATAAGGATACAATTGCAACAATATTTGGAATAGAACAATAACATATATGTATGATGATTTAAAATAAATAGAAAGATATGATTTATGAATGAACCAACTTACCATGATATTTCTCAATTATTCAAACATATTTGTATTTTCTTAAAAGGGGATTTTCAACATGACTTAACATAAACAAATTCATTATCTACATCATCCATTCCCAATGTTATTGTCTCTGATTCATTTGTAAATAGATGGGTTAAATCTTGCCCATAGACTGATTCACTTTCAAGTGTAATATCTTCTCCAACTTCTCCCATATCAAACAAATCCCTTGACATCATATGAATTGCAACACTCCAACCTTTATTTACTTCATCATCAACATAATGCACCATTTTTGTTTGTGAAGCTTCAATATATGAGTCATATTCTTCATGTTCACTTGTGTGAATATATGGAGAAAATTTTACAAAAGTAAATTGTCAAGCATCCTTTCTAGATCCCCTAGAATGTGCAGTTTTTGTCTACTTGCATCTAAATGTACAACTCTAAGAAAAATTTAATAGATAAGTTCAATCATATCTTTTAACTTCCCGTAATATGGCAAATTTGCTTGTCTCAAATTTCTATTAGCATGCTTGCAACACGTAATGTGTTTGAAGTTAGAAAAATTTAACTATTTTGTATTTTTAAACCTTCATCCCGTCCAATGGTTCTAAACATGTACTCATTCATGTTATATGCAATGTATCTTTTTGCAATTGTCATTGGGCCTTTAGTTAAATACTTTACGTCATCCAGAATGACATCTACAATGTATGGATTTGTAACCTAATTATGAAATCTTGTTAGTCATAAATATAAATTACAAATGTTTTTTATGCATTATATGTTTAAAATTTACTCGTTGATGAAATGAATATACAAATTCTTTACTAACTATCTTTCTAACTTTGTATTTGAGAGTCTTCGATTTATTGTCTTTCTCTTTGTAAATATTTTAAATTCATTGCCACATAAGAATATAATGTTAAATTTAATTATCAAAAGAAAATTACTTTCACCACATATGAGATATCTAAATATTTATTTGACATATGGTTGAACTTGTGAATAATTTAGTAGCAAATATTGACATATGAAGATGAATATGAGATTGTGTCTCTATCACTAGTGAAGAAGGTAAGACCTTCAAATTATATGTCAATAATATATAATAATTTATGAACCATTATGGATACCACTTGTTACAGAAACCCACCAAAACTTGAAAAATGAGACATTCCCTAGAGAAATATTGCCAAAGAGTTAATCCTCGCGATTAAATGATCATAGTTGGAAGATGATCGTAAAGCCCAATGAATTTGGAGGATAAGATGTTAAGTTGTGACAGATGATCATATGGCCGATTTGGCAACATTGACAAGCATACAAGCCATTATCAGCTGGTGAGAGTATGCCATTGTACCATGGTAAGGGTGTACTTCTAATAGTTATTATATGTAAGACTATTGAGTTCTAGGAGTTCTAGTGATAACTAGTTAATAACAAGATAAACTATGAGAAATTTAGATAAATTGTGTAAGGATAAGTGAAATTAAGAAACTCATGGAAAAGCTTAAAAATAAGAATAAATGTTGATGTACAACTTAAGTGAAATTCAATATACAACCATATTGTATGATGCATAAGTAGATGACTTGGTTCGTATCATGAGAATGGAGGACTCACCCTTACATTTTGTTTCCAAGATTAGATGGTGGTACTAGAGCTTATTTTTCACCTTAAGGTCGAGGACCTCCAAGGGTGATGGATACCTGATGTTGCCATGGGCATAAACCACTTTGTAGGGTATCTTCGATTTACATAGACACCCTTAGATAATCTTGAGGAGTTATCTTAAGTGTTTGAACTTTATTTATGATAAACCTAAACTACTCTCCAATATTACTAATAGGCTCCACCGATGAAAAAATATTGAAATTTTCTCATCTTCATTTTCATCAGACCCTTCATACTATCGTGGAGACTATATAATGATTCGAGTTACACTCTTATAAGCCTCTTATCATTGATGGTTCACTCAACAATACAAATTTTCTTTGTGGGCACCAGGAGCTTTAGCCTTGTATGACATAAGAGTTAGGAGAGTAACACCCATAATTGTAGAGATAGAGCATACAGATGAAAATTCAGACTGAGAGGAAGTTAATGAAAAGGGAGGAGTTATTAAAGAAAAAAACTAGCTTAGGGGCGATAGGAGATTAAACATCATTATTACTACAATAGTGAAGACTCATGTAAAATGTAAAGGTTGATTAACTAAAAAGGATCCCGAAAAAGATCTTCAAGTGAGAAATTCTTCTTAAAATTATAATAATTAAGATACTTTTATTTAATAAGTGATTTAAGTCTTAAGATGTTTCCACAATTGAGTATTAGAGATGATTATTCTAAATGTTAAGATCTTATTTTAAATTATATGTATTTAGATTGAATAAATTTAAATTACCATACTTTTTTATACTTTTTTATGTATATTGTTTTATTTTATTATTATATATTTGTATATATATTAAAAATGTATTTATAATTTATGTTTGAGAAATTATTTTTGATTTAAAATTAAATATTCTAATTATTTATAAATATATTTAATATAATATTGACAATGTGAAAATATTATCGTTCAAATATTAAAAAGTATATATTATATTTATATCGTCACACGACTGCAAGTTTTTCTAGATTCGGTAAAAGAAAACAGGAAAATAGAAAATTTTAAAGGTGGTTCACTAAATGAAACAGATGTTCCTGAAAATATCATCACCATGGGTCGTATGGATTTTCTTTGGATTAACACGTGGCTCCAATTCCTGCATTTGTGGGATGAATTGAAGGAAATATCTATGTGGAAACATGGAAGATGCCTTTTCCATCTCTTTTCTATTTCTTCTACCACTCAAGGAATAATGGGATTTCTTTAATTACCTATTTTTCTTTGACCAAGTAACACAACTCACCCACTTCTCTCCCTCTACCAATTTAGGACACGTAATTGAGATGTGGGCCCTTACTTTTTCACATGTTTTACACTTCTCACAATGGGAAAGAAAACGTGCGTTACCCTCTCATCAATTATAGTGTCATAAAATTAACACTACCTATAGGAGAATTTTAATTTCTAATATTATCAATAATAGTTTAAAGAATATATTCTAAAATAAATAATTTTACACTTTGACCTCTTTTCACCTCCAAAATAATCTACTCAAACATATTGTTGACCCCTTCATTAAAATAAATTATAATGATTAAAGAATTACTTTAATTATGATATATATTTATCTGAATTTTAACACGAAATATATCATATAAATACTTAACATAAATGAGCGAAATTATTTTATAATTCTTATTAAATATATATTAATTTAATAATTATGCAAATTTAATTATGCAAGAAATATATATATATATATATATATATGAGAATTTTATATTATTGAAATATTAAATAATATTAAAATAAGTATAATTTATTATCTAAAATATTATAATAAGAAATTTATAAATCATAATATTTTTATTCAATTTTTTTATAATTTTTTTTAAATATTGACTTAGTAAAACTTTCTTCTTTATTTCAATATTAATTAGCATATATTACCCGATAGACCTCTATATTGATATATTTGAATTCATTTACGAGTTAATTTATTATTATAATTTTTTTAAAAACAAATTATAAATTAGTTAATTATAAGATTATAACTATTCATCTTGGACATAAAATAAACAAATTTGGGGTGAAAATAATAAAGAGAAAATTGATTATTTAAAAGAAACTTTATTATTTAAATATGTGATAAGTAGTTTCTTTATGTATACAGAAAAATATTTATTAAAAGAGATTTAAATATATAAAAGAATAATATAGTTATAGTTGTGATCTGATAAATATGTAGGTAAACATGCAATATTATGATGACTTTAGTTGATTACAATGGTAGCTGGAGAAACAGAAGAGTGGACTTTGCTTCATATATTGGAAGTCACATCCTACTTTTTTGAAGCATTTGAATGTAGGAGAAAGTCATGGCCACTAGTGCCCATACATAGAATACAAAATAATGTTCAACAAAAGTCAACGCGTTTATGGATTCCGAGTGCTCCAAACATGGCGCATATTCAAAATATAAAAAAACAAGACTTTCTGTGTTCATGAACAATAATATTAAGTCTAGTTATTTATATTTTAATCAAAGTAAAATATTCTACATTAATATCTCACAAATATTTAAAATTATCCATCTACTTCACATTTCGGCGTCTTTGCTTTTGCTATGTTATTGTTTATCAACTAATATATAAAAATTGAATGGTTGGCACTATCAGACAAAAAAAATAAAAAATAAGACCTTGACATTGAAAAATTAAAGATTATCCCATTTTGACCAATGCAACTCCAACATGGGTGGAGGTTATGAAGGGAATGGAAATAATAACATTATTGAATTAATCAATGCGATTAATTTCTTAATCAGTAAAGCAAGGAAATGACCAAAAACTTGGGTATTGCAAGGTGTTGATCTGCCAATGGCATGTAAGACATTATAGTTATCGTCGAAGAAACACTTTAGTATAAAATATTAGTCCTATGGGATTATAATTTTGGAAGTTTGTTTCTGTTGAGATAATAAGATAAGACTGTGATAATTGGATGAAGCATACGTGCCTCTATATCAACAACATTGACTAATAATCATTGTTGTCCCATTAATTTAGGTAATAATATTAGTGTTCCAATATTAGTGTTGGAACTCATAATTATACACCCTCTAATGATGGTCCACTGAATAATTACAAGAATTTTAAGTTTGGTAGTCTATTAATAACTTGTGCAGTCATTCAATGATATGTGTGTTATCCATGCACATATGGGAACATGTTTAATTACATCTGCTATCAATATATGTAAAATACGTATTAAAACTTTAAACAAATCAATTGTTAAAATTAATTATAAAAAAAATAGTATTTTTGAAGAAAAGATAAAATATAAAATCAATTTTGAATTAACTTATATTCTAAAATACACTTATAATTTTTACCTATCTTACGACTTAATGATACATTTTTTTAAAATAAAATCATAATAAATTTAAATTTTTAAAACTGAATCTCATAAAAATAAACTTCAATTATATACTAAACGAATATATCAAATACATTATAATAAGATAATTAAACATAAGATTGTTCATGTGTATTTTTTTTACTACAGCATCTTGTCATTTATATTATTATATAAAATAATTTTGGTAGTTTTTTTCGTATAATAAGTTAAAAAGTATAAAGATAGAAAATATAATTTTTTTATATAACCAATGGTAGATCTTCTTGGAATTGAGGGTCGTGGCTTCCAAAGTTTTAGTAACTCCTATGTAATTTATAATTTTGAGTCCCCCAAACTTAATGAAATTTTAATATATTTACTTGTATATTTACAATTTTATCCTTTCAACCCTCCTCAGTTTTATAACTCTCATATAATTTATGATTTTGTCCCCCTCAAACTTAATGATCATTTAATATATTTAAGTATATATTTACAATTTTATCTTTTCACATTTTCATCTTCTTACTTCATTTTATATTTATTTATTATTTATTAATAATATATTATTTGACCTCTCCAAGATCAATGGTCAAGAGATCTGCCACCGTATATAACGGTATTTGTGCAAATTTGAATTTCTTTTACACTTATATTTATGGATTCACTTGTAATGGATTGATAGAGATTTCACTAATGTTTCCCTCCTTTGTATTCATTTGACAATAATAATTTGAGTTTAGGGTGTGACTCTAGGCTATTGATATGGGAGAGGTGATTGTTTGACTAGAGATGATTAATTCTTTTCATCGAAAATTTATTTTGGAAAACCAAGATGGTCTAAGGAATATAAATTTATATGAAATGTAATGTATAAAGTTGTAAATAGTACCGAATTTATTAAATAATATATTTTATAATATAATAAATTTATTATTAATAATAATTTTTTATAAAAATATTTATAATAAAAAAAATTATTATTGTAATTATAGTAAATAAAAAAAAGTAAATATGAAATAGAATAAATAATAAAAAATTTATAATTATAATAAAAATAAAATAATTATTATTTAAAATTATCATAACTCATTTTAAGATAAAAAAAATAATATTAAATTTTTTGTAAAAAAATTATTTTTTATAAATTAAAAAAATATTAAAATTAATTCAATTTAAAAATTCAACAATTTTATCTGGTCTTTCAAGTTAATTATTTTATTTTAAATAACAAATCAATTTTTAAATCACTTAATAAGTTCAATCTATTATAAAAAATAGGAAATTGTATATATGCTAAATAGTAAATACCACTTAGTTTTTATTAGCAATTTCATATCTAAACGGGTAGTATCAAGAAACACTTTTTCTTAATAATTACGTCTTTCCTAACAAATAAAAATGTTTTATTTTGTCAAGAGATCTGAGCAAAGTGGCATAAGTTCTGAAAAAAACAACGAGATCAGATGGCTAAAATTTTTTTTGTTTTACTTAAGAATAAAGCGATAAAGAAAAATTAAATCATTAAATTAAATACGATAATAACTATTAACGAAAATAAATAGATAATTAATAACTAATTTGCGTTTGCCTTGCCTTTTAGCACCCACGTTGCGCATTCTGTTCACCAGTCTGCCCAAACACGTTTTCCTGACAGTTTTTATGTTTTGGGCCTTTTTGCACTTCTTCAAAGAAAAAAAAAAAGGAAATTTGTCATTGAAGGCACTTTACATTCACCACCAACTCTATTAGTAGCTTTTACAGGAAAAATATATTAAAATTTAAACAATTTAACTTTCAATCTCCATGTTTTTTATTTGTTTCATATAAAATAATAAATTTTAAATCATTATCACTCTAGCTTAATAAGAAAGCTAGTAATATAAATTCAACAAAAATAAAAGTAAATTATATAGTTTAAATTTTATGTATGTTAAAATAATCTCTATATATGATCAGTTCATAATCTAACCTAGTGGAAACATAAACTAGTTTTCTTTGTTAGAGGTTGATGATGCAATGGTCATAGTAATCGGGTAGTGAAATTATTGAGAACCCATTGAAACTTCTGTTTCTAATAGTTTCTAATAAATCATTAACCAAGTTCTACAAACTGATTGATGAATTAAATCTCAAACTAAATCGATTGCCAACCTTCTCAAATTTTTTACAGCTAGTAAAAAATTAGCCATTGTAATTTTACATGGATGGATGAATACCAAAGAATATTTAGTGATATCTAAAAACAATCTCAGAAAGCTATTTGAATGGGTGATTAAAATTTAGACCTATACAAATGTTTGTATATATGCCTCCTCTACTTGTTTTGGTCCCCAATGCAGTTCATGTTTTTCAGGCGCTCTCTCTTGAGAGCAGTGAACTTGGCAGCTATTTCATCATAGTCTGGCAACTTAGGATGAACATGGTTAGGATGTTGAGAAGGACATGAATATGTCCTTAACATCTTATCTTTGCCATTTTTGTACCTCTCTTGGGGCATGGTCATAGCCCTTGAATAGGTAACTTCTGTTTCTATTCTTGTTGAGGAACAATTGGTCCTTGGATTGGAAACATGGGGAGAAGTAGATATTTCTTCTTTTGTTTCATTGTTTCCATTACCAGCTTGGCAACCTGGGTAGTTGAATGCACGATTTTCAGCTCCACAACTATAACTCCTCGGATTTAGTCTCTGAGGGATTGTAACCAATTCAATTCCTTGGTGAAATTCATCATCCCAAAAGGGTTGGCAATGGGAACATTCATCATGCAAAACTCCTTGTTGAACATGTGTGGCTCTTATCCCTCTGTTTTGTTTCAGTGATTGTGGTTCCAAATAGTCTTTATCATTATAAAGGCAAAAGTAACAAGGCTGGTTCAAGCTGCAGCCACTCATTCTAAAGTTGAAAAGTTTTCTCCTTGTGCCATCTTGGCGGTGACTTGACTGTAAAACCCTCTCCTCTTCTGAGAAACCATGTAGCATCAGTCTCTTCTGGCCATAACTTGATGGGGTAATTCCTTCTAGTGAAGGCTTATGGTACTTTCTGTGGCAATGAGTATTATGCTTATGAGCAGAGGAACTTTTGCATGGTTTTCGATAATATATCATGTATCCAATATCCATAAGGCCTAGGTTTTCCAGGGAGGATGATCTCCTTCTTGATCTTTTCTCATGTTTCCTTTTTCTCTTTCCAGAGGTCCTTGTGCTTGAGTTCTCACTCTCTGATCCATCATGACCCACATCACTATCATCGAAACCAAATTGACTATTTTCTCTTATGGATAGACCAGAAGATCTTAACTTAAATAGCATTTGGTCCTGGAAGGCACAACCATTTGCTTCAGAAAACTCCTTAGTGTCATCCCCATATTGTACCATTTCTCCAGGACAGGGAGGGAAACTTACTCTTTGTGCAGAAGATGTTAAAGCCATTCTTTCCCCCTTGTTTTGCAAATCAAAATTTATAGAAGAAAGTAGCTCAGGAAAGTCTAGGTGTACTACTTTCTTTTCCAAAGGATGATTCAGGATATATGGGGGATATTTCTGAACAGCAGACACCATCGCGTAAGTATCGGCAAAGCTAGATTCTTGCAGAGAACAGAAATCACTTGGTTTAGAAATGAATGAAGTAACACGCTCCTCGTCTCTTTTCATCTCTTCAATATCAGAAGGGTGGACTTTAGACCCTGCAATTGAGTCAATTATCTGGGCATCACTTTCCACTAGCTGTACAAAAGCAACAACATAACTTGGTATTAGTAGATTACAAGATTATAAACTTGTTAATACATTCAATGTAGTAAAGAATAGTGACCTGCATTTGTTGCCAACCGGGGTAGTATTCTATGGCTAAAACCCCTTGCTGGAGGCAGTTATCTCTGGCTATTTCATCCATCATTCTGTACTTAATTTCATCCGGCACAGACTTTACTGTCAGGTTCTCTTTCAACTGTGATAAGGAAATTCCATGAATATTTATTTATACATCAATAACAAATATGGAATATGTATATACTTCATTAAAAAATAAAATAGTACTTGTTTGTTCACAAGATTCCCTGGAAATAGCTCCACGGCTGTAGTTGCAAGTCTCTCACCATATCGCTGTCCAAAGAGTTTCCTGATGACACCAAGCTCAGGAAGTTCCCCACATCTTGCTGAAGCAAACATAAGACTAGAAACTGCTTCATTAATATCATTGGGACAGTCCCTGAGTTTTGAAAGTAGAACCATCAGAAAAAGAAAATTTGTGAAGAAGTATGAGGGGGCTGGCAAATGAATTTGATGTAGATAGGTAGAAAGCAGTTAGTACTTGTGCCTCCGGATATATGAGAGTTGCGTAAGGATAAATTCACAGAAGTTATCTAACAATTCATACGCTGCTGCTAGGCTTTCATCTCCTATAAGCTGTTCAACCTGAAATTTTTGAGAATAGTTATTTAAGATTTGGGATTGCAGAATGCGATGCTTAGGAAGGATATACATCATTAATAGAGAGATTAGAGAAAAACAAATAAAACATTCACGAGGTTTAAGTCACAGAATTAGAACAGAAATATATTTGCATACACTAAATAGTTTTTTAGTTTACATCTTCTGAGATATTATGCATAGTACGTCATCATTACTGTATTTCCTAACTAGAAAGGCAAGAGTTTCATAATTGTCTACGTGGTCACAAAATACAAAAATTATGGCTTCAGATCTTAAAATTACTAAAAGAACGTCGAATTTCTCATCATCGTGGGTCTCATTATGCAGAATTATAGAGGCTCAAGTGGTTCTATATCATTAAGCCTTGTGATCTTAAAATTACTAATGCGTGATTCAGTACATAAATCCTATGCAAATGCTACCTCAGCACCGATCCTGATGAGGTTTTGAAGGATGCACAAAATCTACAAGTGTTAGACATGTACTCACGAAACATATACGTAAAAGACACATGCTATCAGCAATTAGATTTACAAGGAGAATTTGGAAAACTAATACAAGACAGAATAGCATATCGAGCAATTGAACAGTAACATAACCTACAATAAAACCATGCAATCTTCCAATACCAATACATAATGCAATGAAAAGTAGAACACTCCTCTATTAATCAACAAATGAGTGTGTAGCATTAACAAACCCGGTTATATGCAGTTTCTTCATGCCCACTTTGTATTAGCTCGGCTAAGTCCTTTCTCAGTTGCCTAGCTATTGCGCGCCTCTTGTTCTTGAGTAGGCTGAGCCGGCACCGGGCTCTTTTGATCGCCTTCTTACTGCAAACCACCAAAGCCAAAACAAAAACAAGGGTTACATAAACTTGAACTCATTCATACATGTATGATTGTGTGAAGCAACATAATCTCAAGCTTTGATAAATTCACATGCAGTTTAGTTACCATTTGGACGCTTTGGACCAACCGAACAATATGTCAAACATATCTATAACTTGATGCCACTTTCTGAATTCATTAGAGACATGTAAAAACAAGCTTTAGTATAGAAAGCCGTTTTGCGAACCTAACAGAGAAAAAACAGAAAGTTATCAGAAGTGATGAAAAAGCACCTGCACGACAGTTACGGTTGAGGTTGAGTTTTGTGGAGATAAATTAGATGAGAGTGGTTTGAAAAAGGGAGAGTGTGACAAATTAGTGGGACTTCATTTGAAAGAAGAAGAAGGAGACAGTTGCGGTCTCTTTGAAAAATAACTGCTCCACTCCTCCTCTGTTTCTTGGATTATGGACACGTCGATCAATTTTGCAGGGTAAGGTCATTAAATTCTCTACCTTCACATCATCGTTTGCCATGCACATCAAGTTTACATTAACAATTTGTGAGACATATTTAATCACAAGTATTATAAGTATATGTAGACATGTTCATTATCTCTTAAAAAATTGTCATAACTGTAAAAAACAACAGATTTAACTGCAAATATAACTAGCTAGCAATCATTAAATGTTTGTGCGACATATTTCGTTATTTGTGTTACATGTTCACATGAATAGTTATTAGCATATGATGAATTGGGTTTGTGATTAGAATTGAAATTGCGTCACAGATGTATAAAAAAGTGACCCAAGTACAACCTTTTATACAGTTAAAGAAGGAAGCACGCGCATGAAACACAGTGGTGTGGCAGGTAAACGAATGAATTGTATGATTGAACTGAAGCGTAAGAAACACGCGCTGACACTGACACTGGCACATGTAATTGTCATTAGTGAATAAATTCAAAGAAAACAAAATAAACACATACATGTTAGCGTTTTCGTGAAGCAAAAACCGATTACCAATTCGACCCACCTCCTTGAAATAGGTGACTCTAGGACGTTCACCAACTCATGTTTTTGGGGTCCTTTTTTTTTTAAGGCGTGGCTTTCAGACCAATACATACATACATATATATATATATATATATATATATATATATATATATATGATCATCACCCTCTACTCTTAAATCGGGTAATATTGTTTTATTATTTTTTATTTAAATTAAGTATTAAAATATTTTTTTATTATTTAAAATAAGAAGAAAAAATATTAGATTATTATTTTAATTTAGATAGATATGATTGAGATTTGTAAAATTTGATATTTTTTATACGTGAATAAAGGATAAAAATACACGTACACACGAATCTTAAAAAAATTTCGTTATTTTTGGAGTTATTCTTAAATGAAAAATGTGAAAAGGTACAATTATGAGGACACAATTTGCGCATATTTTTAATCCTAGGCAGCATCTTATGATTCATGTATGATGTTCTTAAGTTGCACTTTAGGTGGTTCTTGTTTACTTGTTTTGCGGGTGCGAATCGTATGCTATTCTTTTGTGTTGTATTCTTCTGTTTTTATCGTGGTTTACAAAGTAGCGACTCGACAATTGGATAAGGAATAAAATTATTAGGTCTAACTTTATGGGTAAAATATTATTTCTTCTATTTTAATAACATTATAACGTGAGAACTTTTTTTTTTTTTGTTCAACCTTAATTACAATCGTGCTACTAAGCTTTGAATTTATAATTTCGGAGCTTTTCAGGTAGCTTTGCGAAGGAGCTTAAACAAACTATCAAGGTTTCACTCGTAAAAGTATTTGATTTTTCTAAAACAAATAAAGATAAAGTAAGAAATTTCAGTGGTTAATGATAAAATCAGTAGTTGGTATGTATAGTAACATTAATTATTATTTTTTATCAATAACTTAAATTATTTATTTTACTTTTTAAAGTGAATTAGTCACTTTAGTTGAACCAGATTCCTCATATAGCAGCACTCAAGCTAATAATTCATTTAAATGCACTGAAATATACGTTAGACGTGAGGACATTGATATACACAAATTCTTCTGAAAATGTTTCGAGATGAGGAGAACAAGATTCGTACATCTCCATCGTTGTAATGAAAAATGTATAAGAAAAAGATAAAATTTCAATGAAATGTTTTTGGGAGTTGAGTTCGGAAAAATTTGTTGATTAGGTTTTAAAAGATAGCTAGCCACTGTGATAAAGAAAACTAAATCACAACAGGAAAATTAATCAATAGAATAGAAACCAATTATATTGACCAAAAGAAAAATTTTGTGTGCAATAAGCTAAACTAAATTCTAGGTTTAGGTGAGTTAGCAATTTTTTCTCGTGTTCAAGTGTTTATCTTTTTCTCTGTGAAACTTGTCTCCCCTGTATCAGAGTCCCTATATGCATCAAATTGTGATTACTGGTGCTTCAGAAAGACTCTACAAAGCTCTCATCATCAACCCTTCATTCTTCTATTCAGAGTGAAACATCATAAAATGTAGCTACTTCTGTGATATACGTACTTCCCTTCGTAAATAATGTTCCATCAAGAACACATAGCCAAACTCTACAACAAATCCCAATCCTCATAATCAAAGTCAAGTAAGCCCAATTTCCACTTCTTCAACAACCACCAATATATACAAAGCTTCCAACCAACCATTCAGAACCCTACTCCATAAGTGAAATCTTTACTCAAAATACTAGGCTTTTTGTTGGGTTCCAACTTGTCAAGAAGCACGGAGCAATTTACCTTGGCCACAATTTTCTTGAGATGAACAATATCTTCAATCACAAACCTTATCGGAAGCCTCACTGTTATTAGCAAAGGAATTTTCCCTAACTTCTCGTCTTCCATAAGTCGATTTTGCATTTGGGCTCCAAACTCGCTTTCCCCCTTCATCTCCACCTTGAGTGTTGTTGTGTTCTTACCTGGCTGCAAGAAAGGAGGTATCTGCCCTGAACAAAGTTGAGACCCTGAGTACATTATCCCAACTTCATTTTCCAAATAGTCCATCGCAATGTCTTTATTCGGATTCTCTGCCTTCACAACAACCTCAACATCAGTGTATAACTTATCATCCTTTCTAATATCAAAAGACTTTATATCAATCTGTTCAAGGTCGTAGGAAGGAACTACAGGCTTAATAAGGTAGTATAAAACCAAACCAATTCCCACCAAGAGTATAATTATGAACAAAATTATATAGATGCAGCAGCGGCAGCAACTACAGCACCAGCAACAGCACCTTAGGCACCCGCATAAACCAGAACTACCACGGTGATCGTGACGGTGAGGTTTATAGCCATAAGGACGAGGATATGTTGCATGTCCTGCAGGGGCATATGCTTCTGATTTCATGATATATGGTGGTTATTATTGATGAACCCTTTGAGATATTGAGAAAGCACATTCAAGGACATGAGTAGAAAATTTTTCCTTTCTCCTCTCCTTGCCCTGGAGAAGATTGGTGGTGCATTTTTTTTTTTTTTTTTTGTGTTTGGGGAACCTTCCATTGGTTAAGAATTTTGTTACGTATGAATGGACACGGTTCTCTAGCCAGGTTTAGAGGCTCAACTGGTTTCCACAGTTTTTGTTTTGTTTTCTCTTCTTCTTTTCCATACTATATTTAGACACTGGTTAATTAGATTGCATTTAGTTCCTGATCTTAAATTATGATTAACTGGGGTGCCGACTAGAATTTGCATATTCCATTCAATTTATTTATTTGTTCAACTTCCTACATTTTTTATAATCTCTCAAGATTCTAATAAGGGGTTGTGGAACTCAAAACATGTTTCTAACACATACTGACTTAAAAATCCAATCCCCAACACATACTTAAAAACATGTTTTGTCTAGAAATCATACATACCAACTTCTGTTGTTGAGCTTTTTCTATTTGATATTTCAGGAAAAGACTCAGAGAAATCAAAGAACAGTAATTATAGTGAGGAAGTTTTTGAAAACTGAAGCATGGTTCACTTGTTAATGTAATCTGAAAGACCAATCATGTGCATTGATATCATAAACATACAAATTACAAAATATTAAGCATCACACTCTATATACAGAACATATGGTAGTACTAACATGGTACCCATTTTCCATTATCAACAATAAACAGAGCAGTAAAAACGAAAAAAAAAAAAAAAGTAATTGAAAGAGAAGAACAGGGATAAGCAAGAAACTTGACTCATTCTAAACCCAGCAAAGAAGGCTTAAAATCTTCACAAGTCGGTGGAGAGAGAGGACTTGGATCTGAAAGAACCTGCGGTGTTTTGCACAAGTTTCAAAACAGAGGCTACAAATTTCTTGAGTTTGAGAGCAATCTTGTTGAGCTTAGGTGATTTGGGCTCTGAGAAAGAATCTAGCTGATAGGTTGAGAGGAAAACTTTCCTCTGCTTGGCTCTTCTGCGTCTGTAGCTGACGGACTTGAGAATGTGGTCCCTACCAGTGGTGGGTACAGCACCAAGAGCTTCATATCTGTATCTGCGGCTGCGAGAGAGGGCGGTGCTGCGGACGAAGGTAGTCATGACTATGAATAGTCGTTGCAAAGTCTCTCAGTCTCAGACACTCATCACTGGTTGTTACAGAACACAAGCTTTTTTTATCCGTGTTAATGATCGATCGTGATCATTGTTTGGTGTACTTTTTTTATTGTCCTGTCCCTACCCTTCTCATTGTTGGGTATACCCTTCAATCAGAGGTATAGTTTACCATCATTTCCTGTTCTTTTTTCTATCTCTTTACATTTATAATTTATAGTCTAAACTCTAAAACTTTTAAAACCCTGTTCATTGAATTTTATGTTACCATTTCTATATAAACATTTTTAGAAGTATTAAAATGTTATCAATTTTTCATCTTCTACAGAAAAATTTCCACTTTAAACTTTTCAAAATTTAAAATTAATTAAATATTGAATGGAACTCATTATTTTTAAAAGTTTGAGAACCTAATTTGAATAATTCAAACTAGAGAGAGAAACTCACTTATTTAATAAATTATAAAGGAAAACACAGTTAAATCTAATTTTTAATGGTGTTAAAAATTATAAAATGTAAATATTTATGATATATAACAAATAATTAGACGAGTGTTCAATTAAAATAATATTTTACTTCTATAATTTTTCAAACTAGAGAGAGAAACTCACTTATTTAATAAATTATAAAGGAAAACACAGTTAAATCTAATTTTTAATGGTGTTAAAAATTATAAAATGTAAATATTTATGATATATAACAAATAATTAGACGAGTGTTCAATTAAAATAATATTTTACTTCTATAATTTCTGTTAATTGATTATAAATTTAAGGTAAAGGAATTTCGAACATACTCAACTTTTCACAATTTTCATTACATAGCATTCTTGCATTCATTTTCATTTCATTCATCAATGCATCAATTGTGTCCTTTTATTTTATTCTTTACTTGGTAAGAATTTTCTTTTATGTATCTAAAACTTTAGATTTGTTAAACTTAATTTTGGGTCAACTCTGCCTAGTTATTACTTCTTAATAATCAGTTCAATTGACAATAATTAGCAATTAGTTCAAAAATGTGATATACAAAATACTTTATCTATTCATCATTATATTATCTGAGACGATATTAATCAACCCGTTGCAATGGTTTGCTTTGAGCTTACATCCATTATGTTACCATTTTTTTAATCTCATGCTGACACACTTTTCATATTTTATTCATAATCATCTTTTATCTCTTTTAAATCATTCATATCACAAAATATTAGGCTACCACCTAATATCTGAGTAGGAAAAATAATCTTTTAAAGAATTTCATGTGCACAAATTTACATTCTAACTAATTAAAGGCTAAATAATTAAATTTGACCCAAAAAACCAACAAAATCATGCATTATGTGTAATATAATTAAACATTAAATCTAATGTTGTAATAGTAAAATTTTTTTACTAATTTGTAAAATAATATTTTTTTATAATATTTTATTCTTTGTTCTGTTCTCTTCACGAGTCTCACATTGAAGTCGGGTTTAATCTATATACGTTATTTTCTCTTAATCCACAAATGTATCTTAAAAAAAAATCATGTTAAATGAGAGTTTCAAAACGAATAATATTTTAAACATGAGAATTAATCTTAACGATGTTATCATAGTGGACATGAGACACTCTCGTTTCAACATTAGCGTTCACTATGAGACTAAGAGTCAAGTTTCACTCTGCTCATATCCCTTAATTCTTGACTGAGTATTATGTTCTAGTACGTTCATGAGTCTCACATCACTTAAAATTCAAGATTAAGGATAATTAATATTTATCCTCATCTCTTAATCATAACAAATGAGAGCTCACGTAGCGGATAATAATACGTAATATGTAAAATATCTTTAATTTTGTAAGTCTCACTCTTTTAAAAGCATGGTTGGATCATATCAATGGGTTCAATTGATGAGTAACAAATTAGTTTGTTATTTTTAAATAATCAATTTTAAATAAATTAATATAAAATTGAAAAAATTAATAAAACTAAAATAACCTACTAAACTTTTAAATCGAATCGATTTCAATAAAAAAAATTAAAGATAATTTTTTTTAAAAATAACTTATTTATAAAAGAATATAATAATTTTTAATTTTTTATCATATATTAATTATATCATCTTTAAATAATAATTATTTTATTATATTTTAATTATGATTAATCTTTTATCCTTTAATATATCTTATATTTGTAATTTTTATTATGTGACTATGATAATAATTTTATTTTTATTTTTTAAAATTATTTTTACTAAGAAATTTATTATATATTTTTATTATATTATAAAATATTATTTCATTAAATTTAATTGAATTCAATTTAATTTTTAAATCTTAAAATCATAATAATTTAATGATCTGTGTAATTTTAAAAAATGGTAGTAAATATGTATTACATTTTCTAAAAATATAAACAAAAATATTCGTTAATAACTTATACTTTCATCTACCACTCATTATATTAATTAAATAATTATTATTATTATTTTATTAATATTTTAGTTGATATATATTTGAGTTGTCAATACCTAAATATAAATATGAACATAAGTATTCGTATGGGAAATTATATTTATGCACTATATTTATATGAGAGAGAGAAACAAAAGTAATTGATGTGCTGAAAAAAGATATAAAAAAATTATAGTATCTTCCAAAAATGTGAACCATTTTCATCTGAGCCTCAAAATCCAGAGGGGAAGAGGGTATTGATGGTAGTCACATCAGAGCTTATGGAACTAAATTTAAGAGGCACATGAACATTAATATGGAGCAAATACAAGTGCAAAGTTGAGGCTGCATTTATGCTACCAACAACACTAGTGCCTATATGGCAAGGCCTTGAACACTACTCACGTAAAACAACCACTTTTAACTCTTCCCTTTTAAATTCTTACTGCTTCTTCTTTCTTCCTTCTAACAACAGAACCTCAAGCAATCCTGTGACTAAGTGTGCGCATGCAATATCTTCTTCCATTTGCACCCTCTTTCATGTGACCTCTTCTTGCACATTCCTGTGAACCGCTTCAATTCCATCATATCTATCTATATATATATATATATCTATTTCCACACGCACCCTCTTCATAGTTTAGTTAAATATATATACAAATGCACCTTCAATTCCTTCTTCACTCACCCTTCTACGTTATCTCTTAAGCACATTACAACATCTCAGAAATTGCCAGAATGAGGAGGACTTCTCTCTATGCTGCTGCATTTTTCCTTCTTTTACTTTGTGTTCCTGTAATCATCTCAGCAAGACACATAAACCGGTCACGTTCACGTAAGTCCTGAGTTAACCACAATATCTGTGATACATTATTCTTTATATAAACATCTACATTTTGAATCAGTTAGAACATACTATAGAATATGTGAATCTAATGTTTCATGATTTTGATGTTAAATAGGACATGGGCATGTAGATGGTGGAGAAGAGAATAGAAAAGATGGAATAAGAACGAGCAAAGTAAGATGGGAAGGAAGAGTGGGAAGACAAGACACACTAGAAATAGCAGGGTCGAGGTTGCCGGATTGCTCTCACGCGTGTGGATCATGTTCGCCATGCAGGTTGGTGATGGTGAGCTTCGTTTGTGCATCGCTTGCAGAGGCTGAGTCCTGTCCAATGGCTTACAAGTGCATGTGCCATAACAAGTCCTACCCTGTCCCATGAATCATAATCTCCCTCTCATTTCAATTTTCAAGCTTCAATTTCTAACCCCGTGTAACATACATAGTGTTCAATTCCCTCTTCTCTTTGTTCCTCACTTTCGTAAACACTACAGACATGGTTTTGAAGTATAGTTCTGTTCTTCTTGTTATCGTTGAGAAAGCAATGATCGTTGATGTTTGAGTTTGTGAATCACTTTTCTATCGAGTGTTTGAGAAAAAAATAGTACGATGAGATGTCATATAGCAAAGCATGAGATGTTGTTTTATTTTTATTTCAAATGAAATTCTGTAGTTTTTAATAAAAATTTGTACAAAAATAAACTTCTGACAATTTTCCTATACATATTATAGAGTTTTAAAAAAAATCGTAAGAAAAATCCATTGAAGTATGGTATAATTTGTTACCTCCAAAATGCGATTAGGAAAATCTTTCACCTTTATAGACTCCGTAACACAATGGAAAATTGTTTAATAGTTGTTATATACATTTCTTAATAGTAAAATTGGATGAATTATCGTATAAATCATTTTTAATAATATGTTCAATAACTATGATACAAATTGTCATTTCCAAAATGTATCGTAATTAATTGATTTTGATAGCTGTTAAAAGAATATTTTATATTAGAATTAACTCGATTGTATTGTAAAAGGTAACTTCTCCATTGATTCAATTTCAGATAAAAAAAATAGTTTATATCACAATGAGTTATGCTACTGTTAAAAAAATAGATTTATATTACTTAATTTAATTTTAATTAAAAAGGTAATTCGTATCTTAATATTTGTTTAGTAAAAGATAACTTTTTTTGATAAAAAAGTAACTCGTATATAAATTAATTACATAATGAAAACTTAATTTCGTAGTTATAGAGTTAAATATGTTTTTATTATTTATGTCAAGTAGACAGACCGTGGAAATATTTTTTGATTAAATATCTTATATTTATTAAATAAATTATTGTAAAAAAACAAAAAAAATAAAAAATAAAAAGTGAGGGATTTTAATAGCAATTTGAGGATACCAATACTAGGCCCAAGGAGCGCGTCCATTGAACAACTGAAGCCCAAAATTCAACAGTACATACTTTTTTTTCCCTTTTTACATATTTGGTGTAATTTCAAGTGAAATTTAGTGTTGGAGATAAATTTTGAAAATTTTACGAAAAAGGCTAGTTCGCTTAGCTTATGTGAATATGGTTCCTAGCACTACTTTCTGTTGATACTTTTTTTTTTTTCTCAAAAAACAATTCACAAACTTTTTTTTTATTTTTTTTAATTTAAATTGTTATTATTTATATTTTTTTACTTTTTATTTATTTATTTTAATTATAAAATAATATTAGATATATTTTAACTTTTTATATGTTTATAATATTATATTTTAGTTTTTTATAAGCTTATAAATTTATAAGTAAAAAAACTTAAATTTTAACAATAATTAAAACAGATAAAATATATTAATACTAAAAATAAAATATATTATATTATATTATCATTGTCTATACAGATAATTACATTGATTATGATATTCAGTACAATAAAATGAACACATTTTTCGGTATATTTGAATTTGGTCAATCCATTTTGTTGTAAATGTATGTCGTGGTAGATATTCCTGATTGTTCCTACTGTATAGCTAGGTCGAGAATAAAATTTGAACTAGTATAAGGAGAACAATAATCCTCATTTTGTACTGAACGAAATTAATGTCCATAACCTTTGCAAATTCAGTCCAACCTACAACATATGTACTAATATGCAAATGACATATGGAACATATAATTATAACATGTGAGCAAGATAATCCAAGAAGTTGAAACTCTAACATGTGAGCAAGATAATCCAAGAAGTTGAAACTCTACAATTACACCACCAGTAATACAATCTAAGTGTATGCTTTGGTGCTCATCCACCATGCCGTGAGTTTGATAATTCTTGAACTTCAAGTTCACCATTTTTCCTATTATATTTTTACACATGGCAAAGTCTAGCATGTTATGGGTGTTCTTTGAGGAACATGGTCTCTGCTTTCATGTCATGTTTGACAAACTACGATTTATTCTAAAGATGGTTTTGATCAAGGCATATATTGATAAGGTTCGTGCTCCTTTTAAAACAGAGTTCACGCACTCTACTTAAATTGGTGGTCATATGTCCATATCTTTTTCCTCCATTATAAGTTTATATTCATTTTTTTAAATGGAATTTGATCCAATAAAAAAGTAGCTTGTCAAAAATCTGATCTCATAACAGATAGTTTAGCTAGGAGTCGTGACTGCATCATCTCATACGTTGAAAAAATGAAATAACCTAAAAAGTTATTAAATAAACAAATATTAATGACAAAAATAAAAAATTAAGAGGTAAATATTTATACCCATATTAATTATTTGTCTCTTTAACTGAATATTCTTGAATTTTTTTGTTGTAATTTGAAGTTATATGTCAAATGAAATATATTGATTGATTTGTATCTCACTCAACCTTTTGAGACTGTAACGCTGCTAATATTGTTGTATCTCTATTTGTTATGATAAAAAAAAATTTGTTGAAGTACAACATATTGTTTCAATAATTAGAAATATCAAATCAAAACTTCTTTTGTCTCCCTTTCAAATATTACAAGCTAATGAAAATAAATTTTGATTTCCATTTTGTGTAATAGTTATTAATAAAGTTATGTGATATCTTTTAATTAAGAGTATCTCGTCAACTTAAATTACATTGCAATAGTTGAATCCTTCAATACATGGCTTGAAAGACCAAAAGACTCTCTAAAGAATGTAACATAATGAATCTTCTACTCCTTTTGTAAAATAAGAACAACTCATATTGGACACTTGTGCCGAGAAGAGTTTCTTTAATAGCTTGGAACCATTTAGGAATATGGTTGTATGCTCTTCCTCATTACCAAAAGCCATAATAAATGTTTTTTGTTTTCCTATCCAAGTTTTCTTGTAACTAATTGAATAACCACAACAACTTTTAATTTCTACAACAAGAGTTTTTATAAAAACATAAACATTTGCTTTGACTAATTTATAAATAATGAGTAATTTCATTTGAATCTAAATTTTGATGATCAATAAATAACATATTAGACAACACATGTGTAATTTGCTTTAATTTTTTTTTTTTTACCTCCCATTGTTGCTGAAATTTACTGAATAAAACTCTTAGTTTCCATTAATACACATTCTCATAATGGATACATCAAACAATATGTCCATTAATACACATTCCCATAATGGATACATCTAACAATATCCTTATCATACTTTGACTCAATTACATAATATTTATAATCTTTTTCAATATGAGAATGCTTAATTGCACTTATTATTGTTTCCTTTAATTGGAAACACATTTTCTCATAAATAATTGAATTTGAATTAGAAGATTGAGTTTGGTGTCCACCACTTCTAAAGTGAGGAAGATCCACGTTATCATATTTTTCATGAACGTACAAATCATCTTCTTCATAAAAATTCATGAATAATATCTTGTATAATTAGTTCTTCTTCAAATGAAATTAAATTGATTTTGGTAAACTATATGAAAACAGTAAGTGTTTTTTTTTTTTTTTCAAGTTGGATGCATTTAATTACCTACAGAACATGTATATTTATACCATGGTGCATAAGTATGGCAATCTAGGACAAGAGAAGTGAATAAGTGTGGCAAACTGGGGTGAGAGTAAGTGAAGTCATGTCAAGTCACACGATTTTTTTAAAGTGAAATCATACTATATCAGACAACTTTAATGTGAATTCGTGCCAACTTGGACAACTTCTATACCGTTGTCAAAAGTAAAATTGTTTTTACTCATATCACTTCCAAGAAGAATAATGTTATCTAGCATGACTTTTATATAACTCAACATTAAATTCCTCTTATATCGTGCATCTCTGATTTTCATCTTGTACCAAATGTTTTTCATTTTTCTCTTCATATTTTCAATTTCTTTTTCTCTTTCATGTTTGATTTTCATGTTGTACCAAATGTTTTTTATCTTTCTCTTCATATTTTCAATTTCTTTTTCTCTTTCATTTTAGATAATCTATTTGACATTCATCACTTCTTCTATTACACTAGGAGGTTTCATCAAAATCAAGATTTATTTTTAGTATTTAGTTTCATATTATTTGATGTATGATAATATTTATTATAAAATTACTTAGGGTAAAATTATTATGATAATATTTGGTATGTAATATTTATTATAATATTGTTATTGTATTATATTAATTATATTATAATATTTACTAATAATATTTATTTTAATATTTATTGTGTGATATTTACTTGTAATATTTATCGTATAATATTATTTATTCTATAATATTTACAATATTTAGTATAGCAATATTTATTATAAAATTATTACTGTATAGTATAATATTATAATATTTTCTTTTAGATATAATATATTATAATTTTTTAAGAAATTATTACTTTATTATATTAACTATTTTATATTATTTATTCTATAATATTTATAGTATGTACTACATTAATATTTATTATAAAATTATTTACTTTATAATATAACATTATAATATTATTACTGTATTATAATTTATAATATTTATAGTATTTAATATAGTAATATTTATTATAAAATATTTCGGTATTCTATATTATTATAATATTTTATTTGGAATATAATATTTATTATAATGTATTATAATATTATTATATTATATTATTTATTTTATATTATTTATTCTATAATATAGTAATATTTATTATAAAATATTTACGATATTTATATTATTATAATATTTTATTTAGAATATAATATTTATTATAATATTATTTTATTGTAATATTTTATTTATTATTATGTTATATTATTTATTATGTAATATTTATAATATTTTGCACCAATAAAATAATATTCTACTTAAGTTACTCTATATTAATAAAAAAAAAACTCCATTGATCAAGTTTTGTATTACAATCTGAGTTTTATATGGTTTTTCTCATTCACAAAATCACTGCTCGCATCACTTTGGAATTCAAGATCAATTACCCTAAAAATTTAATACATTTTAGCTATCTAAACCACAACACTTGTAGTAAATATACTTATTAAAAAATATATTAAATTTTATAAACATTAACTTAAATTGAATTTCCTTAACTTTTGAGAGATTAAAAATATTAACATCATATTTTATCCCATTTCCTATATTACTATGAAGGATAAATATTCTAAGAAAAAAATTTAAAAATTTCATCCAAGACTTTTTTTTTTTTTTTAAACACAAATCTTCATTTTTTATAGTAAGTATTCAATAACTATTTTTATAGCATATATTAATACACCAATTTTCCATTTAATATATAACAAAAAAGAAAATCACTGAAAAAATTTACACAAGATTAAGAAAATGCAATAATGGTTCATGTCTGATGCCTGAATATGTTTTTTAAAGAAACTCATGAATAATATTTATGAAAATTGAAACAAAATATAGTTGTTTTCAGTTTATAAATTATAATAATGAATGAATTATAATTAAACCAATAAAACTATTATGATTTAACAGGATTAAAAAGACCTAAACTAAACATCATTTTCAATATTGACAGAATAAAAAAAAATGAAGATTTTTATTGCAGCAGCCATCATTGTTTATGGCAATGTTTGCCACACTGCAGTTTAGCTGCATCACTGCATCACATCAAATTTTTGACAATGAGATGTAAAAATAGATGGGGCTTGTGGTCACCATAATATCTATTATGATTCATTTTCACTAAATTTTCTGTAATTATAAATCCAAAAACACACTCCTTTTTCATAATTATTCAATTAATCTGATTTTCTTGCCAAATAAATATATAACAGAGGTCAACATCTAATTAATTCAACTAGCACACATGTTCAAACTTATTTTTGCTCGACTTCAATACATTTTAGTACACATTAAATTAATAAGTTTTTGTTAAGTCTTTATAAACAAAAAATTAACTTTTAGATTTTAAAAAATCGAATTTTATTTTTAGTCTATACAATTAGTATATTTTAAATGACCATCCAAATCTATTATATCATATTAACAAGTTATACTTATAAAAAAACTTTTAAATTTCTTAAAATTAACTTTAGGTGCCAAGATTGATAATTTTAGATTTTAAAAAGATCAAAATAAAAAATATATTATGAAATAAGTAAAACTTTAATTTACTGGTTTTATAAGGAATAAAACATTTAGGGTGAAAATAAAATAGTTCGTTTGATAAAGAAACTAAAAACAAATTTAATCAATTTTGTTTTGAGTTAACCGTTTTTCCTCCATGAAACATTCTCAATTGTTATATTTAGGGTGTGATAATGTTTATTTTAAATGAGATAAAATAATTGAATGAAACAGGAAAAAACCATATCATCCAGATTAATAGAAAATTAAAAATGGAAATAATGGTCTAATTATTATTTTTTTCAAAACTAAAAATATATCATTCTCTGTATATTTTTTTTAATGAAGGGAAATTAAAGAAAAAAAAATCCTTTGTTGAATTATTCGTTCGTGTGTTGGCCATGATTTTTCTATTTTTATTTAAAATATTATCAGTGAAGAAGTGGAGATAAGAGTATTATAAAATTAGGTTTGAGTTAACGTCAATTTTATGTTTTGAAACGCATAAAAAATATGGCTCAATATTTTCTAATTGTCCTTTGTCTCTGAGAAAAAGTAAAAATAAAATGAAAGGAAAATTATCAGTTGATTCAAGAGGTAAAAATTAAAATAAGGAAAAATGAACGCATGGTGACGCAGAGTGGGTCCCTTTCTATTTAAAATTAAATATTAAGAAAGCTAAATCTAAACTTCAAAATTTTCATCCAAAAAGCAATGGAGATTAGTTGGTGAGAAAAATAAAACAGAGTATCTTCACCCAAAAGGTAATGGAGGATTATTTGGTGAGAGAAATAAGAAAAGGGGAATTTTGAAAAGAACTAAAGGACATGTAACCCCTGATTTTTCAACTGATTATTGCTATCACTTTGCCATGCAACTCCATTATTTGAAATTTGGTTCTTTTAGTGTAAATGTAAAAAAACTTTATTTGAATATTGTGCAACTGATTATGAATTGCTCATTTAAAAGAAGAAAATACTTTATTTGAAGGGTTAGACATTGATAACTGATATTTGAACATATCATTCCTCTTTTAACTAAAATCTATCAGTAACTGGATAATTAGAAGGAATAATAGTTAGCAATATGAAAAACAAAAACCAAAAACTAAAAGAACAATAAGAGGGAGAAGACAACAATGAAATCAATTCTATAAAATATATAGGCCAATTCATCAAAACAATAACACAATTCATTGTTTTCATATTGATGGTCACTTATATTTAAGGGTAAGCTCATCTATCTGTCATGCATGACAGAAGAGATGAAGATGGAAATAATCCAAGAAACACTACATCAAAAAGAGTGTACCATCCATTTCCCTAATTGCATTCTCTCTTTTTCCTCTCTTTATTAAATGAGTGCGCACAACAACTAAAATAACGAGATGTCATTGCAAGCAAAAGCCAGTGGGAACAAGTAAGAAGACACAAAGAAAAAATGGCAAAATGTGCAACCTCACTCACTGATTCTACATCATTTGTCACATCCATTAACCATTCATGACTATGATCAATAGCAAGTGATACACAATATAGTCTCTGCTGTCCCTCTGACCTCCCTCACCTATCTCTCTTCATACAATTACCACCTCTTCAGCAGAGTATGTTCAAAGGAGTCAAATCATGAGCCACAAGCAACCCTTTTGCCTGATTTTGGAACCAAACGAGGGTTGGTTGCTCCTAATAAGAGGCTCTCAAGGGTTAAAGACCAACACCTACGGCTACTATACAGCATACATGTCCTCATTCCTCACACTCCCTCGAGAGAAAGAAAGAAAAAAAAAAAAAGTTGCAGTCAATGGTCCAAGAAAGTGCATATAAAAACCAAATATCCTAGCAAAGGATGATTTTTATCGTTACAAGTGCGAACTCTTTGTAGAGTAGTGGATCAACCCTTTTAGCCACCATGTCGAATGCCCATGAAGTGATTAAAGTCATGATGCTGGACCCTGAGTTGCTTCAACCATGAATCTGCCACACTCAACAGTGACAATAGCCTTTCTTGGTCCCGACCACAATTTCCAGCGACCCACACGTTTCCCCCTTGCATCTTGTACGTTGCCAAACCAAATGCTGGCAGTGCTATGCCTTCCCCTTCCTTTTTCTTCTCATGGCCACCCTCAATATCATCGTCAAGATCCATGCCTACACAAATTAGAATACATGTTCCATGATTTCCTGCATTTTCTTTCTCAAATTTAAATCTCTCCTAGAGTAAATTCTCAAGGACCTTTCATTGCCCCACCAAAATAGTGAAGTGAGAGAGACATAATCATAGGTGTACGGCACGATATGAAAATGTAGCTACCAACTGTTCATTAGAGTCAACCTAATATTAGTAAATTTAGGTCTGTGGTTTTAGTTTCAACTCTCTTTTTTCTCTATATTTCACAAGTATCTTATTTTTTTAGATATTTAGAGTATGTCAGATGTAAATGTCTTAGTATGATTTAAAAAAAAATGTAAATTCCCTCCCTTTTTAAGAAAAAGGATCATCATGGGAAATACCTTGAAACGAAGATGAAAGCGTGTGATAAGTGAGGAAGCACGTAGAAAGGTCTTTAATTGTTCTTCCCATGGGGATATGATATATTGGGTACCTGAGAAAAAGTATATTCGTTAATGTCGTAAATACTGATGTCCCTTGAAAGACTAAGGTCATGGATGTGAGTTGGGATCAATTTCAAATGTCTTTAATCTTTTGGACTATATTTTGATGACAAAGTTAGATAGAGAAAAATAGTAGTAATTACCACGCAACAGCCATCCAACTTGCTGGCGAAAGATCAACACTTCTTAATGACATCAACCCTGGGTATCTTTGAGCTAATCCAGTAATCTGAAAGTAAGATACCATCCCAGAAAGTCAGCAATCGAATCTTTATGCCTTTGTGCACTTACTTATTATGCTACCCGAATAGTATTTTCTGTTTCTATAACAATCGCTACAGTCCAAACAATGAAAATTACACACATTAATAAAGCTTTGGGAGAAGAACATATGCTACAAACGCATAGCAGTTACACTGATAAGAAACAAAGAAAAGAGAATCTGCATAATTTACATTATCACTTGGGACATATTCAGAGGACAAAAATGAAAAATGAGTCTCTCTATCCACTCATGTTGAAAAGTCAAATTATGTATCTTTTACAATGTTTATCCTTAAGGGGTTTTGGTAGTTACAGTTCGCTTTTAAGTGCTTTACAATTTTCCATGATCCATACCTATCCAATTGGTTGGGATCTCATTTAAGAACACAAAAAGCAGAGCATAGATATTTATGAACAAGAAATAAGATGCTGAAGTAAGATAAAGGGCAAGAAAATAAAATTAAACAAGGCAACACCAACACGAACACACCTTATCCATGAGAGGAACTCTCCCGTATGGAGTTGCTCTTTCAAAATACTGGCAATAGAGATGACCCAATCTGTCATTGAAATGCCAGAGAGAATCTTGCTCAGACCCCCCCTCTTCTGAGGAAGTTCCATCCCACCTCCATAACTTGTCACACTCACTCTCATCGCTGAAAGAATCACTATAGGAATCCCTTGTCTCACAGTCACCAGACTCAGTCTCTTCCCTGAAATATTCATCAAAGTTTTGGCATGAATTCTTAAAAATCACTACCAGATCATAAAGCTGACAATGAAGCACGCAATAATTCACCAAACCAACTCAACAAAAACAAAAAAAGCTCAACAACCATTTTCCAAAAGCAACATCATGGAACCCGCGTGAAAGTTTGACCATAACAAATTACCATTATCTACCTCACCCAAATGGTGCACTCTATCAGAAAACTAAATAAAAAAACAGAGTTTTTTTATTCTTTTTGCCCGTTTCAATTAGAAAATTCTTTTAGGTTATGAAACAAAAGCTTTCAAGTTGATAGAGAATTAGATATTCATGTAGGAAGTTCAAATTGGTAAAAAATTTATAATGATTCAAGTCATGCTAATTTACCTGAAACTATTGCTGGTGAATATCTGAATTGCGGAGAGATAAGGCACATAGTACTGCACAAGTGTCTCCCCACTGGTCAAGGAGATAGGAACTCCTGCTCCATAAGCACTCCATTCGTCATAGCAATTCCAGAGATCCCCCAACGTGAAATATTCCACGTTTTCTCTTTCCCAGGGATGCCACAAACGGTTAAGGCTTGTAATCTCGGACTGCACACAAAAACAAATGACACAAATTTAGGACAACACAATCTAAAGATCATGCCACAAGGGAAAATAAAAAAGATAAGAAAAGGACAAGACCTTAGGAAGAAACTGGGATTTAACCACAGGTGTGGTACACCGTACGAAACAGTCAAGGTTAGAATGCATTGACCCTTTATTAAAAATCATGGTGTTGGAGAGATAGATGAGAGAGAAGAAAAAGAGAGAGAAGGGAGGGAAGATGGAGATTTTAGCTTCTCTCCCAACCCTGAAAAACAGAGGCAACCACCCAGATGTGGAAGAAAAACAAAAAACAATAACAAAAAAAAAAAAAAAAGAGTGAGGGAGAGATTGTGGGGATTGCAATTTTGCCTTTGAAGGAGAATCAAAAATGCAAATCGCCCCCACAATGGAAGACTTCTATTTTTTGACGTTCAGACACCGAATTTCCCGCAAAATCTCAATACCCTCCACTTTTTATTTGATCGCTCCGTGTCTCTTTCTTTCTCTCTCTTTTTCTCTTCTCAATCAATCGACAAACAATGTTGCAAATTCAGCACCCTCACACGGGGAGACAGATTCTTATGCAAACAAACAATGCTAATTTTCTCTCCCTGTCGCTGTTAAACTCAGCCTTCAAGAAAACTCAAGACAAGTCTGCTTTGTGCAACATTTAAGAAACACACTTCTCAGGAGATAACAATTACACGCTGACGCGTCAACCTTAAATCTTGAGATCAAATCAAACCACCAAAACAAAGCCACATAGTCACCTTAAAAATGGGAAAATAAAGACAAACAAGGATAAAGCTAAATCACGGACAGAGTCAGAAAGTACTACATGTATCGAAAATATTCATCAAACAGAAACAAGAGAAGAACTATTCGGTTTAATTTCCAGAATTTGTGATGAATTTTATGGAGTGATGACTGAGTAACAGCAGAGAAGATAGATAGACGGATAGACGGAGATTATGATCTATACGAAGCCATAATTGAAGCATCAGAATCCAAGATTTATAACATTTATGAGCTTCACCCGTCCAATAGTTTCACTGTACGAAATACTTTATACGCAATATAAATAATATAATCTATTTTTTTAAGTTTTAAAATTTTATTATATAGGACAAGGTTTGTTACTATACCACAAACCCGTAGCTATCATCTTTGAAACTTCGTTCGTTTCGTTCATAGATTTAAAATTAACAGCTAATATACTCTTTGTTATAGAAACAAAGCGGATTTGTATTTTTCACTTAAAAAAGTAAATATATATTAGATTCTGTTTTTTTATATTCTTTTCGGATAATTATTAAAGATAAAAAGTATGCCCACAGAGGAAAAAGAAATAGAGAATTATAGAGGTAGAAAGAGAAAAACACAATAAATGGTATGAGAATTGACTAGTCTGTGTTTAATAAAAAAATTTCATAATTAAAGTGTGCCATACATAAAGTTGAACTACCAAGCTTAAGGTATTCTCTTGTTTTCTATTTTTTTAATGTTTATGATTAAAAGTGATTAGATTGGAAGTTTTAACACAAATTAAAGAAACTGTACTCTTTCTTCATCCGTTAACTTTGATGAAATTAAAGTATTATGTGACTCCCAAGTAAGTTTATTAAAACAGCTTTGAACTTTCTTGCAGATAATCAATAGACTTATAATTAGGTGCCGGTTACAAAACTGCAAAAAAAAAATGATAATAAAATAGTGTTCTCTTAATTGTGTGAAAGCATGCAACTAATCTGTCATCCATTCAGTACTGAAGTGAAGTGTGTCTAAAAATTTTTGTTGGTTAGCATAAAAGAATTGTTCAGAACAAAAGAAAAGGTACATTGATAATTGAGAGTAATTTCTTCTTTTGCTTCTAATTTGTATTTTACTTGAATTGGTGGTGTGATGAAAGGAGAAAGGCATGGAAGTTGAAAAACCGCGTGAACGTAAGTGCAGGGATACTAGCTAATAACACTTACACTATTAATTTTTTATGTGCCTATAAAACTAAGATTAAATTAACCTAAGCATGAGATTGCAATTGCAAGCAAAACCACAGCGTTGAAAGGGTCTAAATTCGTACGCAGATGATACGAACTTGTGGATTAGCCAGCACGGCATGAAATTGGAAGATAATTGTGCAGGAAGAATAGGAAAATTGTTCAAACTAAACAAATGCAACGAGTGATTATTACACACCACATACATTCACATTATTGTAACTTATGTGCACATTATTGCATTGCATTTGTAGTTTTGTGACTGTAATTTCAACTTCTGATTGGAAGGCAATGAAACAAAACAAAGTTAGGAATTGAAGGGAAGAAATTGCTGCAACTAAAAGAACATTCAAAAGCTTGTGGACCCTTGCGGTTTTGGATGAGAAATTCTTACTATGTGACATAGAAGAGGCGTACTAATCTTTTTTATCTTAAAAAAAAATTGTATAATTTTATTCATTTTCTTTAATTTTTTTAACAATTTACTCATATATAAAAGTCTAGGTATATCTTTTATTTTAATATTTTCTTAATTAGTAAATATCTTCATTTTATTTTAATTTTGTAACTTAAAATTTGTTTTATATATAATCTTTCTTCCTTCATCTTCTCATCCCATCATTTTTAGTCTCTTTCCACCATCATCAATATACTCCACTTTTTTCACTGTCACCTTAACACTAACCCTTTACTTTTTCTATTGTCACTCCTCTAACCCCTCATCCTCCCACCTCCATAGTTATTTTCTACATCAACAACAATTTTGACTATTAGTGGATAATCATCTTTTTTCATTTTTCAAACTCCTTTTTATTTTTCCTTCTCTCTTTATGCGTTTAGAGCTCTGACAACGACTTCTTTCTCATTAAGGTTATTTTTCACTTACCTCATTAGCTCAACCTCCACACTTTTACCACTATCTATTCCTTCATCACATAAATGTCTACCACTATAAAAAAAATTGATATTATTTACAACCGAACTCTATAGGTATTACAAGAAATTTTGTAGGTATGGAGATATTATTTATAGATTTTTGAAGATATTTTCTATGGATTTGTGACGGACAAAAATTCGTACCTCATATTGTTGTAGGTAATATTAGTTATAGATTTTTAAATCCTTAGGTAATAGTTAGCTGTGCATTTTTAAATCCATAGATAATTTCATGTTGCATTATCCGTAAGAAATGTTTATGGAAATTATATTCAGATATATCATTAGATAATTAGGTACAATATATATTCATAAGTAACCTACTGATATATCCCTAAATATTACCGACGGATATATGAATAGGTAATTATGTACAGTAATATCTATATGTAATTACTTATTGATATATTTGTATGTATTGTCAAACGTCCAGTACAAATTTATCTCAATATTTCTTTACAAAATTTCAATTAGATTTTAATATTTATATATTCAATCAAATATTGTCTAAATATTTATATATATATATATATATATTCACATATATATTGCAATAAAATATATATATAATATCAAATGTAATGTTGAACACAAGTTTTGAACACATTATATCAATAACAAGTTTTTAACACAAACTTAGAACATAATTTTAAAAAACTAGTTAATAAAGTAAGACCATAACAAAAGTTATCTATGTAAACAACAAAGTTAAATCTTAAAACAAAGTCTATAATAAAAGTTTTAAGATATCTAATAAAGTATATATTCTCCTCATTTAGGTAAATTTATTTTGTTCTTAATCACCTTTCCCCTGCTGATTGTCTTGAACTTGTTCATTGACTTGTATTTGATAATTTTCGTGTTGCTGGAAAATATTTTATGCAGCTGCTAATGTCGGTAGGTACTGTATGACTGCACCAAGAAATGTCTTGATAGACTGAAATTGGGAATTTATATGACGAATATGTTCGTCACTATTTGATAGTCATTGTCTCAACTATGTAACTCATGTGAATCAACATAATTATAAGATGTTTTAGTTTGTTATATGAGCATCAGCATAATTATCACGATGCCCGACATGTCTAACACCATAGACAGACTCGTCTCTTATACCTTCCACCTACAACAGTTAACCAATATCTATGTTAGAAAATACAATTGTGATTTTAAGTCTCACATTGGGTAAGAATGAAAAAATTGAGCAACATATAAGGAAGTATAACTCATAACCTAATGTCTTAAGGTTTTGGGTTGAGAATCGTGTCAATCCTTATGTGGGTTGTGTTCATATGTCTCATTGGTGTTGGTCTCTCCAATAAATCCCCTACTGTCAATCAACTTTCGGCTCTGATACCACTTGTTGGATCTTTCGAAGGGGGATTAACTGGGGAGAACAACGTCAATGAGACATGAGTCCAACCTGACACCACTCTCAATCCAAAACATTAAGATATTAGGTTGAGTCATATTTTCTTATATGTTGCTCAACTTTTTCATTCTTACCCAATGTAGGACTTAGAATCACACTTGTATTTCCTAACATATATATTCCTTAGTCTCTCCTCCTCAATTTGATCTAAGGGAGTATATTGTGAGGCACTGACATAAGATGCAGAATCAGACAATGCTTGAAAAAATCTACTCTCTAATTTTTTTTATTGAAAACAAAAGTTATTTGTTACCTATAGTACATAAATTACTTTGAAAATAAGATTACCCAGTTAAGAGACTCACATGTATCCTCCTAGATCTATTATCAACAAATTCATCAATGGTCTTTTGTATATAAATTTATTGAAAAGCCTCATATACATGTACAAAACAACCAAACTCCTATGTTTACAAACAAAAAGTATTTAAACTAAACTATTAAATTATAAAAGAATATTAGCAAAATAATAAACAAACTATTCATACAAAGCGAATGACGTCTTCATGGACACTAATGGAACTGCCTAAGTGCAAACTGTCACCTTTTTCAAATGCTTGATTTTTCTCAGCAATATCATACTTTGAGTGATATAGAGGCATATTCCACTTCTCCAAGAGACTATTTCACACATTATTTCCAATCCACTTAGGTTTCTTATCATCTTTTCAAGCATCCTTAAACATTTTTTATAGTCTATGAGAAACTCTTGAGTGGAAATTCTTTTTAATTTTTTCCTTATCCTCAAGTCTTCATGTCACCTTCCTCTGTAAAAGTACAAATGTATACAACAAACACTAATAAAAATTTTCCTACTAATA